CACGCTGTGAAGGAGCATATTCAACTATGGCCTTGAACTGAGCACCTAAACAAAAGAACCACGTAATCACATATGTAATTACTAAAAAAAAGTCACATGCAGTCACTCAGACATACCCTTTTCATTAACAAAAACATGGCCGTTGAAAAAAGCAGCGAAGTCGTAAACATCTTCAGGTGCCTTGAAACCAAAATAGGCCTGTGAATACTTCTGAGTTTTAAAGCTGAGGAAGCACAGAAAGAAAGACAAGCATCATCCATGGGACACTAAAACTCATACTTAGAATAGTTCTGTGTGATAAAATGCCAGAACCGATCATCTTCCTCAATTTAAAACCATCATCGTAACCCTAAAAGCAATAATCTTTCTCTGGAAAAGTAAAAAAAAAAAGCGAGCATACCTGGACTTTCCAGGGCGAAAGGAAACCCAATTGTAACGATCACCGAAACGAGGGTCGATCTGAGATAAGAGATCGGACTGAGAAAGAGAAGGCGGCAAGTGGCGTACAACCACCTTCCTCTTCGCTGACGGGTCCTTCATCAGATTCAATTCGTTCTGAAATCAAAGAGAAATTCGATGAAGGGTGAAACACATCAGACGCAGTGAAGAAATCGAATCGCAACCAATTTTGCCCTAATTTGTTTCCTCTCTTTCTCTAAATAAATTAAAAACAAGAAAATTCTCACAGAAGAGAAAACCCAACCGCATAACTGAAACTGGGTTATGTTGACTTTCGAGTCTATATGGGCCAATATTTGAGCCTACCTTGGGCTACTACCTTCTATGTTTGGTAAATGATCTTTAAGACCCTCATTAACTAATTTGTCCAACAACAAAAAAAAAAAAGACCGTCCTTAACTACTTTAGGTTATAATGCTCGCCCGTTTTTGTTTTTTTTTATAACATCTTTATTGATATCAAATCATCAATGTAGTATCACATGAATCAGAAGTTATATTAAAAACTAGGGGTTTGTCCGCGCTTCGCGCGGAAGTTTTAATATATTAAATTTTAAAATTGGTATATTTACTGTATCTAAAGTAGACTATGTTAATACTATTTTTAAAATGAATAAATCTCTAGATTATTGTATTTAATATGAAAATTTATAATATATATATACTTCTTAATCTCACGATCACCATAAGCGGGAGAGAATTTGATGACAATGAGATGTTTTCATCTTTCTTCCCTCTCTGCAATTCAGAATCAAAATTCAGTAACGAAACATTTCAGTCTTGCAGCTGAAACATTCAAAATTTAACTCACCAGTTCAAAGTGAAAAGGGGGCAAGAAGCGAACTTTAAGATTCACTCAATTACTCTACACATTCTTCCCTGTTGAGAAAGACCTGAAAGAAGTAAGAAGAAGCTGGAGAGTGATAAATTTGCAGAGGTGGGTTGGTTTCATTTTAGAGGTTAGCACATAGAAAAAACTTTGAATGGTCCATTTTCCATTTAAATAGATATTTTTTTCCTCTTTGTGCTGCCTCCAAGCATGAGCCAAGAACCAAACTTTGGTTTGACTAATCTGACTCTGGTTGTTTCTCCAATCTGGTGTCTGTGTAGATAGAAAAATGTGCCTTAAATTAGCTGCACAGATCAAAGTGACTTGTACAATAAGTTAGAGTTTTTGTTGAAGTTTGTATA